CTTACCCTCCGGGGTAGCCACATGTAAATTGCTACCACTTAATCATGGTCCTTGGTCTTCACTGGCTCCTAAATAATGCCTGGGAATGTCTGGAAGAAGATTATTTGGCCTGGGCCAAAACCACAGAAAAATCTGTTCTGATGGTTCAGCAACATGAAGAACCAAGATCCAGAATCTGGGGATATTTCTGGGAAGCAGAGCAGACTGCTGCTCTCCTTCCTAGGTCTCCATGAAGTTGCAGTGCCTCTCAAGTTTGAAAAAGTAAAATCTTTTATGACTGACGAAATATTTTGGTGTGTCTGTGTTCAGCCTCCCCAGAAATTAATACTAATTCCTTGCAAAATTGATTGAATTTTTAACTTGCAATGCACATTCAGGAAGCAATCTAGGGTAATATTGTTTTTCAATGCTTGTTTACTACTTCATGGAAGTGGATTCTTTAGGAAGAGGGTGAAATATTTAATTGTAGAACGTGTATGGCATTGAGAGCAATGTATGCAACAGATATTACCTTTGTGTCCAAGGGTGGACAACCTTGCCTGAGTGCTCAATAAAGGTCAAAAAATGAATTAATAAGCTTATCTTTCCAGAAAACAAGCTTCGTTCTAGAAGGCATAACATTAGTGTTTACCAAGCTGCCCTGGGGAATCACTAATGATGTACAAAGTTTTCTACCTATAGGTCACTGATTTTAATCCAAACCAGCTCAGCAAAGACTAATTTTTCTTAGGAGTGCCATTGATTTATATATAAATTGTGTGTTCCAGACAGTGAGACATACTTATAAGCATAAACCTCTAATTTGGAGCATGTTTGTCTGACACAATAGAAGTTTTAATTTTTTTCCAAGTGGCTTTTACATCAAACTTATAAGTTTTTGATAGCTAATGATTTTTTCAGAAAGTGTCTAATTTAAATGTAAAACTTTCAAATGATAGTGTGTCAGCAACATCTCTGAAGAAATGATGCTATTAATTAATCTCAGTTTGAAAAGTACCATATTTCTAATTAGAATTGGTTTTGAGAAGGAAGGTTGTAAGTGCAAGTCCCAAACCACAAACTCACCTCCTTTGGTCTGTGCTGTTCGTCTGGGACACTCCAGTGTAGTCACTGCCTACTGGAAAATCCTGTCTAAGAAACCCTAATCAGTTCACTTGTAGAAACTTACAAGTAGGAAAGAAGCAATCCAGAACATTTCTGGAGACAGCACAAATGTTAAGTGAGGTGCTGCCCTTCTGGACAGAGTGGTTGGGGATATGCCAGTCAGTGGCAGTCTTTGGTGTTAAACAATGCTCTACAACATCCTAAAGAGAGCAAGGAAGGAAAGTGGCAGAGTACGGCCCATAGGGTCAGAATGGCCAGACTTTGGTTTTCTCAGGAAAGTGATGGGTGAGATCTTGTGGGAAGCAACATTTAAGGAAAAAAGAGATTAGTACAGCTGGCAGATCTTTCAGACAAACCATCTTCAAGCTCAAGAATGGGCCACTCTGATGCTCAGGTAAGCTGGTGGATTTATCAGGAGACCGACTTGGCTGAACCTGGAACTCATAACTGAATTCCAGTGCAAAAGGCAACATAAAGGCAAGATTCATGAGGACAGAGTGCAAATAAGAACACAGAAACATTGTGCAGAAACACTATGGATTTGAAACTGGCAAAAGGCATTGAGTAGAGCTCCTATCACATCCTACCCCATAGCTGAGGTTTCTGCTGAGCAAGGGGGCTAAATTTGAGCCAGTGTTGTACTCTGGCAATGATGGAGGCTAAGAACATCCTCAGCAGCAGCAGCAGGAGTGGAGACAGCTGATAAAGGGAAATTATTAATCTCTGACTTCTCAGTAATCACTAGCCTGCATCCAGAATGATGCAGTCAGGTTTGGCTGCCCAGTACAGGACAGACATTGACAAGCTGAGGTGAATTCCATGGAGGGCCACGAAGGTTGTTTAGCTTTGCAAAGGTGAGCCTGATGGACTAGGATTTATTCAACCTGGGAAAGAGGCAGCTGCAGGGGCAGCACCTTACAGCACACTGGTGCCTATGGGTGGTTTTAGAAGGGATGGAGCCAGACCCTTCAGAGAGGAATATGGTGGGAAAAGGGTATAAACTGATGCAGAGGAAATTCTATCTAGGTGTGAGGAAAGAAATTGCACTCTGAGAAGAGCCAAGCATTTGATCAGGTTGCTCTGAGAGGCCATCCAGTCTCTAACCTTGGATATTCTTGAAACCTGACTGCATAAATTCCTGAGAAACTTGGTCAGAGCTACTTCTACTCTGAGCAGTTGCATGGGCTAGAAACATCTGGTACTGTCTTCATACTTAAACGATCCTGTGATAGTGCTGGTAAAGTTGGCATTAATTTAGCTGCCAGTTGTGAGAGAGTTCTCTCTTTGATGAGATAAATAAACCCCACAGTCCCGTTTCTTAATAATATTACTGAGTTTTGATGTATTTGACATAAGATTTTTGTAGTTCTGAGTAAAAGTCTAGCCTGCTAAACATTGACTGGACAGTGTAAAAAAGTGGTGATGAATCTCTCTCAGTCCTTAGTTTAAATAAGAAATAATATTTGTCACTAGCTATTATTACCAGCTCTCATGGAAAAAGCTCTTCCTTGTATGTAGCTCAATACTACTGAGAAACCCGAGAGCTGAATGGGCAGAATGCAAAAGGAGCAGCCCAGAGTCTCCAAACAAGTGCAGCTGACGACTATTATTGAGACAGTGTGGGAAAGATGTGCTCAGCCAGTGCTGATGATGTACCTGTCCTGAGGTTTAACTGAGCACTTTGCTCTTTGAGGCTGTCAATTTTATAAGGACTAAATTTACTTAAAAAAATAATTGACAGATGAATTTAGAGAGCGTTTTGTTGCTTCAGCCCTGGAGTGGGGACCAGGAGACCTGGGTTCTATTCCCATGTCTGTCACAGGCTTCCTGGACCATCATCTTACATCTTTGTTTCTCAGTTTCCCCTTGGGCATAATATGGATAATACTTACCCACTTTACAGGGCTTAATTCATTAATGTCTGTAAGGTGCCTTGAGATCTGTGTGCACAAGGCACATTAGCACTGCAAAGCATTTAGTATATTATTTTATTATTTAAGACATCTGGGACCATTTCCACTGATGTGCTCTATCCATTTTGCACTGCTTTGGTGTTGCAAAGCAGCCATATTCCTCTTTAACAGGCCAGTGAGGCTGAGTTTATGACTGACTTAAAATACCAGCCATCGAAAGCATCTGAAGGCTCCTATCAAGTATGGCTGTTCTTTTTCTCTTTGCTGAAAGGATGACTGATAATTTTTCTCTTCTGACATTGGGATCTGTGAGGAATTTTGCGCATTTAATGATAGGCATTATTCTGATAGTGGATGAATATTTTGGCAAAGTGAAAGATAGAAATGACATTGGTGCAAAAATATATAGGTGTATATGCTAGGAAACTCTGATGTGGACGAGAATGTGACATCTGGCAAATTTAGGTTGGCCTGAAAAAGCAGTGGAAAGGTACTGGGCTAAACCCTGGTACATTCAATGCACCATTACTCAATCACTTTCTACTTTTCCCTTTAAATTTTCGGGGGCTTTCTACATTGCTTTCATAAATATGATCACAGAAATTTGTTACAGAAACTAGTACACGGAAGCTGGCTTTTTGGTAGAATAGCAATTGTGCATCAAGGGGAATTATTCTCATGAAACAAATACTCAAATATTCTCATGAAACAAAGACTAGTTCAACTTCATACATGTTTATTCTCACACACAAACACCCATGTGAGCACACATTTATGTGTTCAGCGTGAGAAATCATACAAAAGGAGAGACCTAAATATCAATTAGTTACTCCTAGGTCCTCTGAATGATAAAATTGTCATTCATTTATTTAAAGTGACAATAAAAAGGAATGGTTTAGCAGGGGTTTTACCCTTTTGTGGGACACATGGAATGGAGCCCAAGTCACAGCACAATCTTGATATCGATCTCTCAGTGAGAGAGTTAATTTGTCAATGACTGTAATTTGCCAAGCTTTATGAATCCATTCTTCTTCCTTTGGTGGAATATTTCTCTTCTAGATCTCTGCTATTACTTTCTTTTTTTTTTTTTTTTTAATGCAGTAAAGATAAAAAATTACATACATCTCTGAAGTCTTTAATATACATAGAAACAAGTATGGGACTGGTAAAAGAACATGGGACTGAAAGGCACAGCAGCAGTCCCCTGTCCATCTCCTTGTTTTTAAGGGCACTGTGCCATCTAATATTAGTTGTTATCCTACCATAGCTGCCTTGAGAACTAGCAAAAAATTTTCCCCCACTCCTTCTATAAGATAGCAACTCCAAAAGCTCAGTACAGGAGAAATCTTTCAACTTCTCCCCAAATTAAATCATGTACAGATTCAATGTTAGACTTCCTAACACTGTTCTTTTCCCTGGCTGAATTCCAAGGAGATAAGCTGGCAGGTCTGGATGTCCAAGTTCCCTGGCAGGAGTGGGCAGAGATATGCAATCAGGAACAGCACAATCAGGAGCACACAGGCTGGGTTGCTGCTGGCAGAAGTGACATGTGACCACAGCTTTAGGCTCCTTTCTGCTCCCTCCTTCTCATTCCCCTGACTATTCTATTAGTCTTTTTCTAGACATTTTTTCCCCCATCTGAATTAATCTTTCCTGAATAAGCAGAGCCACACACAGTATTCCAGGTGAAATGTGAATTGTGTGTAATGATATTAATATTTTCCTATATTTGATGGATATACCTTCCCTAGTATTTATACTGTTTCCAAATTTTGGAAGTGAAGCAGGCAAGGCAGAAGGCAGGCTCCGTTGAACAGGAATTTTCTCTTGGAATTAAGGCAAAAAAGGGAAGGTGTATGCCCAGTAGAAGCGAGGTTAGGAGAAAAATACAGAAATGCTGCTTGCCACTGTAGGCAGAAAATTTGTGTGGCCAAAGCTCAACTGGATTTGAAGCTGCCAGTACATATTGATGGCAAAAGGCAGTATGAAAATAATATCAGCCCATTACAGGATGAGGATGGTCACCTCACAAACAGGGAGAGACACAAGGCAGAGGTATTAGACACATTCCTTGCCTCTGTCTGCAACACAGATGACAGACCAAGGGGGTCCCAGTGCCCTGAGCTGGAGGACCATGACTGGGTTAATGATCAACTTGCAGATGACCCTGAAATTGTGCTGGATCTGCTGCTCCAGTTGGATTCCTGCATATCTATGGGGCCTGATGGATTTAATGCAAGAATTCTCAAACACTGGCTGATGTCATAGCAACATTTCTCTCGATGTTTTTGAGCAGTCTTGAGAATCTGGAGACGTCCCAGCTGAGATCAGGAAAACATCAGTTTTCAAGAAGGGCAAGAAGGAGGACCCCAAAAACTACAGACCTTTCAGTTTCACTTCAGTGTCGGATAAAACTATGGAAAAGGTTATTCTGGGAGGTATTGAAAAACACCAGAAAGACAGCATAGTCATTGGTCACAGCCAGCATGGCTTCATGAGAGGAAGGTCCTGCTTATCAAACCTGATTTATTTTCATGACAGGGTAACCCACCTTGGTCAAGGGAAGCCAGTTAATGTAATCTTTTTGGATTTCAGTAAAACTTTCGATACTGTCTCTCACAGCATCCTCCTGGACAAAATGTCCAGCACACAGTTGGATGAATACATCATGTGGTGGGTGAGCAACTGGCTCACAGGTTGTGCACAAAGGGTTACAGGGAATGGGGTGACATCAGACTGGGGACCTGTCACTGGCAGTGTTCCATAGGGCTCCACCCTCAGCCCTGTGCTCTTAAACATCTTCATAAATTCTGTGATGTGCTCTAGGAGCTGGCTTTTTGCAGATGAAACACACAGGCCCACATAAGTATTCTGTGACTGACTGACACAGCCTGTCCTTTCTCCTCTGTAATTTCTGATTTGTAAGCTCCCAGCTCAGAATTCAAGTTCTTGTTGTTCTTAGTTTTGTGAACTTCCATTTTTCACAGTAATCCATTTCAGCCCATTTCTTGTATTCCAGCAGTGAAGGTCACCCAGTCCCTCCTGTAGGATATTTCAGTCTAATAAAAATCAGCCTGATTTTATCTTATGGCAAGAGCAGAGATGTTGAGCCACGTGGGAAAGCTGAGCTCCAGTGGTGCCCACACATTCCTGCTCAGAAACCTGAGACAGTCTTGGCTCTACAACTCAGAGGGGACAAGAATGACTACAGCTACATACAGTGATCCAAACAATGGTGTTCTGCTAGGTTCCTAAAGAAGCTGATAAAAGGCTGTGATCACTACAGTTTGGACAGCTAGGTACTTTTTGCAGAAATTATCTTCACCGTGTGTTTTGACTACAACATGGTTAATTTTTCAGTTATTAAAATTGGTGAGTAAACACTTGTGTGAAAAATGTTCCCCTAAGCCAACAATAAGAAAGATCATGAAATGGTGTTTGAAGTTACATTGGAAACATAATTTCTCATAACCAAACCATTAAAAATATCAGACTTGTCCTAGGTTGGGCTAAAGCCAGACAGGAAATAATCTCTTTGGTTGTAAAACCAAATAGATTCCAATCATGTAATATGGTCACAAATTCTGATCTGGTGTGTATCTAAGTGGTTTTCACATGGATAACATTCTCAGGCAGTACTCATGGATGCAAGAAGTAGTTATTGATTGACTTATCTATGCAACTGAATCTCCTACACTCTTTGTAAACAATATTTGAATTTGATCAGATAGTTAAGTTTTACTGAATTTTTGTTGTTTTATTTCCTGACCAGACTAGTCCCTTTTGAACTTGTTTAAAAAATAATAGATTTAATTATATATCTTTAGTTCTGGCAGCCAGCTTTACAGTTTCACTCCAGGCACTCTCTTTTCTTTCATTTCCAAAGGTCCTGAGAATACTAATCTTTAAAAGTACCTACAATTCATATGTCTATTGTCATGTCTGTAAAAACTGAGATAAACTTCAACCCTGATATGCTGGTCTACATTTATTTATATTTTCAAAGGTAGGTATTTGTAAAGAAAGGGTCCAAAAACCTACATTATTAAAACCTTACAGTAACTATAATATTTTTCAGACCTTTGAATGAAGATGAAGCTGATACATTTGATAGCTGTACATTATTTATTTATGTTATGAGAAGCAACAATCTAATCTCATCTCACAGCTTCCATAACAAAAAAGGCTGAACTGTAGAGTGGTCAAAAGGCAAATGTGGCTGCCTTTGACTAGTGAGTCAGCTCTTGTCTTGATATAGACTGTCACAGTGAAAAGAACAGGGATTCTTGGCAACCACAATCATTAGGCACAAACTTCAGTCACACATCAGCATTGGCTGTCATTCCCTGAAGCCCACATATTACTGGGTTTAGAATGAAGAAATTTTACATGACTGGTGATCTCATAAAATACCACTTTACTTTTGAGAGCTTTCACAATATATTATTCAAAGAAATGCAGGGAAATTTCAATACTAGTTTAATGCAGCACCACAATTAGAAGTGCTGTTTTGTGACATGGTATTGATGTTTAGCTGACATCAAGTAACTCTATCTCTTGCCTGAAAGTGCATATTGATAAGGACAATAAACAGACATGAGACTAGGTGCCTTCCTCCAAGTAATGATTTATCAGTTACACAGTGTTTGAGACAACATCTTTTTACAAAACAGAAGCGGATGCAAAGGAGATCAGATGGTAGCACTTGAATCTGCCTTTTTGTCCATTAGGGTAAGATAAACTGCAGTAAAGTAGTTACATACAGGTACATTATATATTTGGCAACCATACTGTGACTGTAGTGCTGGTAATGACCAGCAAATTGAAGATCAAGTTGGATATAATGCCAGTTCTAGGGGCAAAGTTGATGATACCACTGTATGCAAATTCATGTGCTTTGGTTCATACCTTTAAGTACTTGCATGCATGGTGCAGTTTTTCACCGAGGTGTGATGATGCTGTGTTGGAACCACATGGCACAACTGGTGTTAGACTGTCATCCAAATCAGATTTGCAGTGTTTTGTGCAGCTGCCACAGTTGAACTGGATTATATACCCCATGTGAATACCAATTGCTGCCTAGGAGAACACAAAAAAAAAGCAGATGCTTGAGGTTGAAGTTTTAAAATGGGTAGATGCACTTATAGTAATTTTCAAATTCACTGAATAGGCAGCAGTTAATGTCTCTTCATCTCCAAATCTGAGAGGCAGAGGTTTTCTTGAACTCCCTTTACATAGCCTGCCTGCTCCCTAGCATATAATCAGTATTCAGGGTGATTCTTGCTACTAAGATTCAGTTCCCCTATCCTTGCCTTGATTTTATTCTTGTAGATAGTAAAAAAAACCAAAACTAATACCAACAAAGAAACAAACACACAAAACGCCCAGGCGTCTCCTCCAGAAGCCCTTAGCAGCCTGCAGAGATTTAGAACCAGGATCAGAAGCCCCCACACGGGTGTGCATTTACATGAGATATCCCAACATTTACCTGAGTACTTGGACTCAGGCAGAAGGATGTGGTTTTCCTATAGGTTCTGTGTAATTTCTGTCATCCTATGTCAATCTTCAGCATGCCAAGGACACCTCAAAAGGGTGCCTATGAGTGAGCAGCTAAGCCACGTCTGTGGTGTCCATAGGGTACAGTGTCTAGGCTGCCACTGATTCACAGGCTTATGATGAGATTCATGCCTTAAAGCAGGTTTATACTGTGAGGTATTTCATCAAATTCTAGTTGCTGTCCTGAGAGGCTACAGGTCTCCCAAAAGTTGTGTGTCATATCTAGCAGCCTTGTGAGCATATCTCTGATCCATGAGAACCTCTGAAATGGCCACAAGTGCCTTTCTTTAGGTAACTGAATTTCACCTAGCATGTTTATTTTAGAGTAAACCAAATAGCTCTTCAGTTTCTATATGATACACCTATGCTGACTCTACAGAGAGCTCATCTCATGCCATTTAAGACATCCTTGGTATGCACACAGAGCTGGCAAATGTGACATGGGACCCAAGGGAGACATGAGCACCTCTGGAAGAGCATCTGGGTTTTCCAACACAGAGACAGTTCAAATGGTACTGAATACTGACATTTAGACTGAGCTGAATCAACCTCCTCACTTAGGACATAGACACTGAAAGATGAAGATCTGATCTCCAACTGAATCCTACCTTGCTAGCAAAGATTTAGCTGCTTGAGCATGAGACTGCTGTCACATGAGGTAGCCTGGGTTTTCTGCTTAGTCTCTAACTGTACATCCAGCTTGGGCTTTCCATAATTTTCTTTTTGTCATCCCTATCATGCCTGTAAGCTTTCTAAGTGGTATCTCAGGAGACTCGTGGTGCCTACCTTGAATGACTAAATGGTGTTGGACCCTTGGTGTTAAACCTTTTTTTCCTTTAGTCTATAAAAATCACCACCTTTTTCCTTAGTCCTAGTTTTGCTTCTTTGAGTCCCTGACCTTTGTTATATACCAGCAACATGATGAAATGAAAGTCTACAGGTTTTACAAATATTTTCACGTTTTAGGCACCAGTCTTAGACATTTACATCTGAACCCCTACAATGCATCTAGAAAGGAAAAAAGTATAAAATTAAATATCTCCTAGAACCTTTTACAATATCAGAGAATCTTCACAGGAAAAAAAAAATTCTTTATTCCTCAAATTGCTACTTTTCTCAGCAGAAAGAGGTGAAGAAATCTTTTCCTCCTGTGCCTTTGACATGCAATCTTGATAAAGGAGGAAATGGCTTTTAAGGAAATGAGCCAGGGTATCCTTTTCTTCTTTCCACTTAAGATCCCAGGCAAAATATTCTGCTTTTCTATGCAAAAATCTCTTCCATTCACTGAGACAAGGCATAAGCATTTATTCTTACCAGCTAACTCCCTGCAAGAAACCAATCTGAAAAGACATCTGAAAAATATCCCTTAATTGATACAAAAAGAAAGAGTAAATTGTAAAGATGGAGACAGTTAAGATTGCGTATTAAGGACATGTCATCATTTTAGAGGTTCATAACTTAACCATAAAAATTTGCTCCAGGCTGAAACTTGGCAT